GAAAGCTGGAGGGGGAAAAGACCATGCAAAATTAGTTGAGTCGAGGGCTGAGGCCCTAGGCAGGGGAGATCCCTGCATTGGGTCTCAGTCTCCGTCTCCTAAGCCCGCCAACGACAACAATGGGCAAGGGATTGGGGGACCGAACATGAAGCTTTTGTTTCTTTCACATTTTTTATTACTTTCCTTATACTTTCCTTTTTTTTAATTTTTACTAATCGTCCGTGGGCTTTACCTAAACCACGGCGCTAAAATTTGTAAATATATATTTTTTTACGTCTTACACTTGGCTCTCTGAATTATTAATCTCTACACCAGAACTTATACCATTTTTTCTCTTTACTCTTATTTTTCTCCTTTTTATCAAATTATCCCCGGAAAATGGCCCCCTCAAGTATGGGTAAAAGCAAGAAAGTGATGGGTGTCATAGCCTTATTTGGTTCGAGGTTCCTGCACTTCCTGATGACCTCTTCAGTATAGAAAAACAAGATCACAGTATCGACGATGGTGACGTTAATGTACCAGATTTACCAGTAGTTATTACAAAGAAAGCGTCAATCAAAATTAGTTTCAAGTTGTTCAAACCTGTATTTGACATTTAGTGTAAGATCTCTTGTATGTCTCCCTGTATTTATGTATGTTTCTTTATTTGTACGTATGTATCAATTAGTTCAAGTGTAATAAATTGCACATTTCACGAAATTGATACATAGTTCTTTTGACTGTGTATCCTATTGTATAAAATCTGTGATAGAAAACGATGGGGCGCCACTTTCGAGGGCGTCTGGTGGGCCTTCTGCAGCAGATGATTTGGCTTGCATAGCTCATTCCTTGGTTTGGGGAGTGTATTTTGTCACTCAGCATTGGTTTCGAGTGCTCCCTCGAATGTTTGACAAGGTTAAATATGAACTCAGGGCCCCTTTAGGGGCGTTTGGCGGGCCCTTTGCAGCAGGGAATTTGTCTGGCATTCCATGTTCCGGGGGATATGTACGAAATTTTGACACTGGTTTCGTGTGGTACCTCAGTCGTTTAGCCGAGGTCAAATATACGGGCTTTATAAGGGCGTCTGGCGGCCCCTTAGCAAGGGGTATGTTTAATTTAGCGCTTTTTGAAGCATATGGTAGGTTAAACACTGACCACTCTTGTGGCCAAACATTGGTTCTTCGTTCGTTTAATCAAACTGCTCTGGGCTGCCGGACTACGAGTACGGATTTAATTATTTATCTTATTCATTGAAAACATTCTGCCGCATCAACACCAAGGTCATTAAAAGTGTATTAAAATATAGCGATAAGGTGTGGGCTTGGGAATGAAGGCCGTTCAGGACTGACACAAAGCCAGCCTTTCATCCTTTAAGTACTCACACCTTAGGAAGTGGGCAGAAAAAAAGGGAAAGAAGAAAGATTATGCAAAATTAGTTGACGCGAGGCTGAGGCCCTACATTGGGCCCGAGTCCCCTATCTCCTTTGCTTCCATGACAACAACCAAGGGACTGGGGTGGATTTAACATTTGGAGCAGGACTTTCCGTAGGTTTACACCGAACAGTCACTCGCCCATAAGTATGACATAGCTATTATTACGTGATGACGAACAGCTGCTATAAAATAATACTAACTTTACGGGTATTTTTTAATTTTCACACGGCCATCCAACCTTGCAATTTATATCCCTTGTTTCAACAATTTACGGTGTAATGTATGTAAGTCTCTCTTGTTTTCATTACAAACATTGCCAAATTAATTCTGCTTATGAACCAAAAACCTTCCTAACAAGGGGCTTCGCCTTTGCCCTTAGATCGCCACCATATCGCTGTATTTTCCGCTTCGTCCCCTGACCTCTAATCAATCTCCACGCATTTCCCGTGGCCGGTTTTCTTCATTACTCATGTTACTCTGAACCGGAGTAGATTATTTCATGTATAACAGTGTAGTTTTCCATTTCCTTTTGGTAATGTCATTAAATTTTCCTGTAAATGTATACCAGTATATTACGTGTTAACCATCTTTATGGTCCACTTGTGAAGGAAACACCATAGATGAAGTGTCTTAATTCATGTCGTTCAATTCACTTTAGACAATTCATCGTGCCAATATGACCGTGTATAACTGACGTAGACATCTTTATCAATTATGGGTGTATTGTGAGTCATGGTTATCATCTACACAAAATATCTATTTTCTTAGAACAATGTGGCTGTTATAACATATCATTCAGGACAAACTACTGTTACTTCTTAATTGAACATTTTCTGCTACGTCAACATCCAAGGCCGTTGGCAGCGTATTCAAGATGTAGCGATAGGGTGGGGCTTGGAGGTGAAGTCCGGGGCAAGGAAGTTTTCTTGGTTCATAAGGCGATGTTTGTGGTTTCACAGAATGGTTAATGATCAAAATAAATAAAAGTGCAAAGGTCATACACCACTATGATAGTGTTGTGGCAAAAAGGGTTAAAATAATTTAACAAATAGGTCAACGCTGTTGCTTAGGTAGTGAACAGGGTAAACGGGAAGAGCAAACGCAGTGCGAAGGCCGTTCAGGACCGACACGAAGCCAGCCTTCCATTTTCACACCAGAGGAAGTGGACAGAAGGGGATGATGGAAATACGAAAGGGAAAGGGGGAGAATGTTTTTATTTATTGAAAATTATCTGCCATAGGGTCATAAGCGGCGTATTCAAAATATAGCGATAGGGTGGGGCTTGGGGGAGAAGCGGAGAAGCCCCTGGAAAGGAAGTTTTTTTGGTTCATGAGGCGATTTTGAGGGGGTTGTCAGAATGGTTAATGGTCAAAACAAATCAATGCGCCACGCACCAAAGGTTATACAGCACTATGTTAAAGTATGTGGCGAAAAAGTTAAAATAAAGTTACCGATTGGGACAAAAGATTTTATTTGTCAAAAGTTGTGGAGCGATGGTTGGTTAGTAAGGTAGTGAAGAGGGTAAAGAGTACGGAGGGTGAAGAGAAGGAAAAGGAAAGGAGGGTGAAGATATGGCAACGGGGAGGAGAAAAAAGACCAAGCAACGTTGGTTGAAGGGAGGTTGAGGTCTAAGGTAGGGTAATAGACAACCTACTTTTTTAGATACATGGATAACCTTTTTTTAACTGGTCAGATTTAACCTTTTAAATATTTGGCAACATTTAGACATACCGAAAAGTGTTAGGGTGGGACTGCACTTTCTCAGTCCTTTAGTTCTTACTACAAAACAGGTTTTTAAAGATCTATCGTTTTGCCAAGATGATCTTGTGTATATTTATGGACATTTAAATTCCTGTAGCTTGCTTCCAAAAAATAAACAGTTTCTTAGTCCGACAGCAATATCTATGCTTCAGTTCTAAGCATTTAAGTTTCCCTGATACATTTACGGTCTTGATCGTGTGGTTTGCATTAAAGATACCAGTTTTAGGCTTTTTCTCCTATCCCTTTTTTCCCCACAAATATCTAAGTGTTGAACCTTGGGTGAAGATTAGCAGTGCAGTGAAGTGAACTATCTAAACCTCTTACACTAATCTGGGATAGTTATTGGAATCAGCACAGAGCAGGATCTTCCAAGAACTTTTACCATAATTAGCCACTCCCTTATATGTATCCGTCGAACTTGTTAATGTTATCTTAAACCTCAACTTGCATGTGAAGTGTGGCGAGTTATGTAACCATTTCATTCTCACATACAATACTAATATTCTAGGAAACAAGCAGGAAGTTCCAAAGACTGACAGACAAACACTTAAGATTGAAAAATCTCAATGTATAATGTGAAAAGCTATGTATTTACGCTCCCCACCTTTACTAGAACCGAGATGCCTTTGAACATTAAAAGTACAAATTGCAAAGTCCATTTTGTTGAGTATCGCACAAGAAACATTTAAGGATGAGGTACACTGATAAAGTCTCGGCACATCAAAGTTTCAGGTACAGGTAGAGATACATAATCATGTAACAACTTTTGTTTCCCCTTTCTTAAAAAATTTTTTAGATTGCCACATTACTTCTAACAAAAATATAATGGAGAAATAAGTAATCACAATACCTTTATTTCTCTGTACAACAATCAGGAAATTAGAAAGTATAGTTTGTAAATATTAAATTTATTTTCAGAGGCGATATGGTTTACAATATTCATTTATAGCACTTCATCTTAAATATAACCCCAGTTTTCCATTTTGCTTATATTACCGCATTAACGATACGAGAAGTTGAACTCCGTCCTGTGCCCAACTCACTAATTAGCACGTGGTCACGAGTCCGTCTGGTCAAAAACAGGTCACAGTATTTATGCCACAAAAAATGTACTCATAACAGGGCAGCAATCACTGTAATCTGTAGCAAAGCACAGCAGCAGCAAAAAAGGGACAGCACGGATCAAGCGTCTGCCTAGGAAGGGGATGGTCGTGTCAGGCATGGTCATGGGAGATCACTGCCATGCCTGTAGGTCACACAGTCCAGGGCACAGGCCGGGGCCCGGCTGCCTCGGCATAACAACTAGCAGAGTAGCAAGCACTCAACGGGACACACAGCGACTCGCTGCAGGTTGCAAATGTCACATTTTGCATATTCAAACTCAACAGTGGGTCGATGTCCCTGAATAATGGGAGAGTTCATGAGTTGACAGCAGCCAGCAAGCATATCCTCCAGCCATAGGCACATGCTCGGGTCTGTACATGACTTTTTAAATATTTATATAAATATACAAAATAAATCACAGAATTTGAGCCATAATTTACAAAACATATGAGGAGCCAAGCTGTAAACAAGTAACTGAGCTTCAAGTATCTAAATGCATATATCCTCTATACAATCACTCATATCTTGGAAGTGAAGGGAATGCAGTTTTCCATTTTACTATTTTATAACACAATAACAATTAATATGCAACTGATGCTCACCCTAGCAAAATATTACAAAACATTCTTATAATTCACTATACGCACTTTCACAGAACACTATTAACCATTTGTCCGTGTGCATATGCACTAATTTTACAATATAAAAAACACATTAGGGCAGCATTACTAAGTCCGAGTCCACCTCATGCTCCAGCCATCACTCAGGTCTTGCCTGCTGTGTGGCTCTCTCTCCTTCCGAGAGCGAGACAACAGGGAACAGTCCGAGCTCCAGCCAGTGGCACCCCATCACTTTAAGGGGAAAAGGGTGGGTGTATATATAGCAGCATCTGCCTCTTCTGCCAGGCTCAACACTTCACTAGATTGTGGCGCAATTATATCTGGCTTTGGCTCCATCTTCACTTCATCTTTGCTCACATTTCCTATATATATATCCGCGTCCATCAGTTACAAAAGAACTTGACCTGGTATAGTGGGCAGCTACTGAGGGAAGATTATAGGGTTCATATTTAAAAAGGAGCTTAGGTATGAGTTTCTCCTTCTTCTACTTAGCTTCTTTTAACCATCGCATGAAGCCCTTAACAAGGTTAACACAGACTCCTTTTCCCTCCTGCTCCTCTGGGTCCAGAACTTTGCCCACTCTTCAAAGGCCTCTTCAGACACGACTTCAGTGTCATAGAAGGCATTAAAACACTTTTCTAGAAGACCTGAAATGGAAAAATGAATAGATAAGATCAGATTCAATCACAAATCAGACACTTGAATAAAATTCATATATACTGCTCTTAAATCACTGCAAAGAAACCAGTCTTTACAAACCTGGGGGATGTTGATGCTTCACACTGATAGCTTGTAGAGCATAAATACACTGTAGTTCTAACTTGTCACTGCTGTCCACATATTTGAGCACCACAGCCAAACGTTTCTTCATTTTCTCCTCAAAGTCTTCAGTAACACGAATTGAGGAACCATCATTGGAAGCTGGGAGGTTAAAAAGGGAAAAAATTACCATTATTACAGACTAAACAGAACTTACATAGACAAGTAATTTGAAACCCTGCTATACTGGAAGGCATGATTCTAAAAACTTTTTTTGTTCTAAAAAAATTCCAATATATACAAGCATATACAGTATATACTTCTTGAACTGCAACCAAATCTCACTTACTCATAGCTTGACTTTCCACTAAGGCGGTCACCAAGGCACGTATGAATTTGCTGCTCTTAACATCTTTTCCAATATTTGCCTGAAAATAAAAAGGTTACTTTAGTAATTATAAAATAGTCAAGGAAGTAAATTTAATTTCCCAATGGAGAAGAAAAATTACCATGAAAAAATGTGCACTTTGGCTGCGTACGTGTGCGCATTGTCTGTGTACTTGGATGTGTACATGTGTGCGCATTGTCTGTGTACTTGGATGTGTACATGTGTGCGCATTGTCTGTGTACTTGGATGTGTACATGTGTGCGCATTGTCTGTGTACTTGGGTGTGTACATGTGTGCGTTGTGTGTGTACTTGGGTGTGTACATGTGTGCGTTGTGTGTGTACTTGGGTGTGTACATGTGTGCGTTGTGTGTGTACTTGGGTGTGTACATGTGTGCGTTGTGTGTACTTGGGTGTGTACATGTGTGCGTTGTGTGTGTACTTGGGTGTGTACATGTGTGCGTTGTGTGTGTACTTGGTGTGTACATGTGTGCATTGTGTGTGTACTTGGGTGTGTACATGTGTGCGTTGTGTGTGTACGTTGGGTGTGTGTACATGGTGCATGTGTGTACATTGTGTGTTACTTGGGTGTGTACATTGTGCGTTGTGTGGTACTGTGGGTGTGTACATGTGTGCGTTGTGTGTGTAATGTTGTGCGTTGTGTGTGTACATGTGTGCGTTGTGTGTGTACATGTGTGCGTTGTTGTGTGTACATGTGCGTTGGGTGTGTGTACATGTGTGCGTTGTGTGTGTACTTGGGTGTGTGTACATGTGTGCGTTGTGTGTGTACTTGGGTGTGTACATGTGTGCGTTGTGTGTGTACATGTGTGCGTTGTGTGTGTACTTGGGTGTGTACATGTGTGCGTTGTGTGTGTACTTGTGTGTACATGTGTGCATTGTGTTGTACTTGTGTGTACATGTGTGCTTGTGTGTGTACTTGGGTGTGTACATGTGTGCTGTGTGTGTACTTGGGTGTGTACATGTGTGCCTTTGTGTGTACTTGGGTGTGTACATGTGTGCATTGTGTGTACTTGGGTGTGTACATGTGTGCGTTGTGTGTGTACTTGGGTGTGTACATGTGTGCGTTGTGTGTGTGTACTTGGGTGTGTACATGTGTGCATTGTGTGTGTACTTGGGGTGTGTACATGTTGGTGTGTGTACTTGGGTGTGTACATGTGTGCATTGTGTGTGTACTTGGGTGTGTACATGTGTGCATTGTGTGTGTACTTGGGTGTGTACATGTGTGCGTTTGTGTGTACTTGGGTGTGTACATGTGTGCGTTTGTGTGTGTACTTGGGTGTGTACATGTGTGCATTGTGTGTGTACTTGGGTGTGTACATGTGTGCATTGTGTGTGTACTTGGGTGTGTACATGTGTGCATTGTGTGTGTACTTGGGTGTGTACATGTGTGCATTGTGTGTGTACTTGGTGTGTACATGTGTGCATTGTGTGTGTACTTGGGTAGTGTACATGTGTGCATTGTGTGTGTACTTGGGTGTGTACATGTGTGCATTGTGTGTGTACTTGGGTGTGTACATGTGTGCATTGTGTGTGTACTTGGTGTGTACATGTGTGCATTGTGTGTGTACTTGGGTGTGTACATGTGTGCATTGTGTGTGTACTTGGGTGTGTACATGTGTGCATTGTGTGTGTACTTGGGTGTGTACATGTGTGCATTGTGTGTGTACTTGGGTGTGTACATGTGTGCATTGTGTGTGTACTTGGGTGTGTACATGTGTGCATTGTGTGTGTACTTGGGTGTGTACATGTGTGCATTGTGTGTGTACTTGGGTGTGTACATGTGTGCATTGTGTGTGTACTTGGGTGTGTACATGTGTACATGTGTGCATTGTGTGTGTACTTGGGTGTGTATGTGTACATGTGTGCATTGTGTATGTACTTGGGTGTGTATGTGTACATGTGTGCATTGTGTGTGTACTTGGGTGTGTATGTGTACATGTGTGCATTGTGTGTGTACTTGGGTGTGTATGTATACATGTGTGCATTGTGTGTGTACTTGGGTGTGTATGTGTACATGTGTGCATTGTGTGTGTACTTGGGTGTGTATGTGTACATGTGTGCATTGTGTGTGTACTTGGGTGTGTATGTGTTGTGTTGGCATTGTGTGTGTACTTGGGTGTGTATGTGTACATGTGTGCATTGTGTGTGACTGGGTGTGTATGTGTACATGTGCATTGTGTGTGTGTACTTGGGTGTGTATGTGTACATGTGTGCATTGTGTGTGTACTTGGGTGTGTATGTGTACATATGTGCATTGTGTATGTGTATTGTTGTGTACATGTGTGCATTGTGTATGTGTGCAATGTGTATGTGTACATGTGTGTTTTGTGTGTGTACTTGGGTGTGTACATGTGTGCATTGTGTGTGTACTTGGGTGGGTGTACATGTGTGCATTGTGTTGTGTACTTGGGTGTGTACATGTGCATTGTGTGTGTACTTGGGTGTGTACATGTGTGCATTGTGTGTGTACTTGGGTGTGTACATGTGTGCATTGTGTGTGTACTTGGGTGTGTACATGTGTGCATTGTGTGTGTACTTGGGTGTGCACATGTGTGCATTGTATGTGTGTACTTGGGCGTGTACATATGCATGCCTTCCTGTGTGTACATGCATGTATACACACAAGATTCAGGGTAACCTTTAGACAAGTAAAGACCATATTAATGTTTCTATTCAATATCATGGTTATACTCGTGTACTACCAAGCAATGACAATTGGAGTCTACACGACATGCATAGCAATGTCACGTGCCAAGGATAATCCATGATCTACTACTACTTCAGTGACTTACATCAATCCAGCTGAAAATTTCTTCATTAGTTGCTCTCTTAAACAACCTAATAATCTCAGCCTCAACCTTCTGAGGGTTCCATCCACCTTGATTTCCGGACTTGCTACGGTCAACTGTGAACTCCACATGCTGCAAGAAGAACAAGAAATAAATTACATGTTGACAATGAAGAAATTTTTGGTCACATTTATTTCTTTTTATTTTATTTTGTATTAAATATCTAAAATACATGGATACAAATTTATATGTAATTACACGTTTTTTCACAGTACAAATTGCCATCACACGAGGAATAACTAGGTACTTACACGCTTGGCAAGGAACTCCTCAACATTGGCACCAGGAGGAACTATACTAGACCAACATAGTCCTGATGAATTCCAGAGATCGGCTACCTTATTGGGACTCTGAAAACACAGGATTGATTATTTTCTAAATAGTTATCACCATAGAAAATGTGCAAAAAAAGTTTTCAATTGACAGCAACACCTATTACCAATTCTAACCCAATATTGATGGGGGTGTTATATAGGTGTATGCCATGCTTACCGAGTTTAGTTTATCATTTAAACGTCTTTACACATAGATGGCTCCCCAAGTGTTTAGTCAACAAGGAGTCAATCATTAGTATTACCTCTCTTGCCTGTTTATGCATTTCCTTAATTTTTGTAATTATTCTCTCATCTTGTACCGATATCAAGTAATGTTAACCCACTTGCACCGGGTGTCACACATGTGAGACACTCAGGCAGGGATATCACCCTCCAAATGGACCATCAATAAGTGGTTTAACATGATAGCAGTCATGTCTATAATAACAGCATCGGTGTTAAAAACATTGGTTAAATGAAGCCACTTCCCAAAACCTCAACGAAAGGGGTAATCACAAGATCACATAGTCTACTAATTGACTAATTGATTAGCATTTGTGGACCCATTTATATGTAAACACTTCACAAAATAAACTACAGTGATCACATTTTTCTGGCAGCATTGGATTAATGTCAAATGCATGTCATTATTCTCTGGGCATTTCAATAATGCATACAATACTTACAATAATCTTAGCAGCCTTGGCTAATATACTGGCAAAGACATCAGCACTCTTATTTTCAGCAAATCTTGATAAATCCCAGAGTCGTTGAAGCGAAACTGCATTGTCATTCAGGCAAGGAGCTGTTGGCAGAAAGCAAAATAAGTATAAATTGCTTGGTTTTGATGCTTTCTTTTTCATATAAAACAATTGCTTACTATTGCACCATACCCTGATGACAGGAACTTACCAAATATTTCACCAAAGTAATCACACACTTGAGGAATATCAATTGCAAAATCTTCTGTCATTGACAGAGTTTCTTGGCCACTGAAAAGAAAATAAACATCTTTTCATCTCAACATTTCCTTTAACAAATATGAATATCAAAATCTCAGTAAACTTATCCCAAAAAAATATAAAACCACACTTCATGAAGAAAACTTACCCTTCTAGGAACTGATCAACTGAGAGGAGTTTTTCAACAATGAGGTCATGGTAAAAACTGTCCAACCATCCTCCTCTTTGTTGAATCACGATCTAGCACCCAATCTAGCGTTACCTGCACAAAGTACTTGATGGTGCTGGTGGAGAACTTCTCTTTGACACACAACTTGGCCTCCTGTAAGGGTATCATGGAATAATTAAAAATAGTTAATCAAAATAAATATACTTGTATTTCATATGTGCTACTTTTGAAAATATATTATATATATATATATATTATATATATATATATATATATATATATATATATATATATATATATATATATATATATAAGAAAACAGACAAGTAAAATACCATATACATACATCAGGATCATTATTGTGGGTGAATTCCTCAATGATTGCAATGGCAAACTTTTCAGCAGTTGCTGAATCCATATTTGGAGAACCCTTTAGAGATTCACCAGTTTCCCTAGGCACTGAGTTATCCCTTGATTCTGGACGACTAGTAGATTTGCTTCGGTCTGGAAAATAAAGTATTTTTAGGTATGGAAGAGAGGGGAGGGACGGGGTAAAAAAAGAAAACTCATGGGCATTGTTACTAAATAAACACAAACTTACCAGGGCCAACAAACTTCTTGACTGCAGACAAGGCACTTTCCTTGTCATTGGAAGGAGGTGGCATACTCTTACTGCTAAAGACCCCTTGCCTTGGTGGCCCTCCTCCAGGAGCCAGTCTGTTTCCACTGGAACGGGACATTAGCCTTTAATAAAAGCAGATCACAAGAATGATATAAAAAATACTAATCTGATGTCAGATATTGCAAATTGCTTCCGCCTTCCGTATCTAGTACAAAGTCCAAGCAAAATACATAGTGCTTACCCCATTGATGAAGGGACTCCTCTTCTATTATCATTAAGTAGAGTGTTATTACCCATACTATCTCCCAGCACATTAAACCTATTACTTTCTTGCTTTGTTTCATCGTGGTCCTTCAAGCCACCCCCTGAGCTGCCACGTGCCCAATTGCTGAATCCTGTACCTCTCAATGTTACTTCCTTGCCCTCAGCTGCTCCCGGCTGTACAAATTAAAAATAGCAATTAAGTTTTACTCCAATGCACTCCATCATCACAAATATCTGTTAGCACATTATGCCCAAACATGTGACCAAAATCATTCAACAAATCCTTACCCTATTAATGAAGGTATTTTTGAGGCGAGAAGAGTCAAAGGATGCCCTGTTCTTGGTGGATGCAACTGTATTCCATCCATCCTCAGACATAGGAGGACCACGGTTATCACGGCTCCGTTTACGGTCCCTGTCATCTCTCCTCTCATCTCTTCGGTTAGGAGTAGAAGCAAGGGCAATCTGCTGCTCAATCTCCTCTCTCTTTGCTTCCTGCAAGTGCAATAACAACTGCATGAAACACTTTACATCTACATAGCCTTCTAAATCTACACATGCAAAATATGAAAATAAAAAATTGAATTAAATGCAAGCATTGAAGTTTTACATTTCCTGTTGACCTCCAATAAAACTAATTTAAAGGACATAGGACATAGCAAAACCAGCACACACACCTCATGGACCTGAGCCTTGGTTTTGGGCTTGTTGTCTTCTCTTCTAGGAATCCACTTGTTTCGCCGCAAGTCAATTACATCCATCATTAGGAACCTAACACGGCTATTGTTAAGCGGTCGTTCACTATTTTCTCCATCTGTGCAAAATGTTTTTTCCAATTCTTGCTGTGGGGGGGGAGGGGGGAGAATTAGTGTACCATTACACAAAAGTAACCCACAATGTTTTCCATAATACTACAAAACTTCACATGGTATTCAACCTGGCCACTTACCATTGCCTTTGGTTGCTGGTTGCACTGTGTTTCCAAGAGCTTGCCAATTGTAGTAAGCAATTTACATAGGCACTCAAGGGACTCTTCATCTCTCTTTTCCAAGAGTGTGCCGATAATGCGCATCATAATTGGTGATGTCAACATGCGCAGCTTATAGAGCTCTCCAATAAAACCTAATGTTGCCTACAGACCTTTTTCTTAATTTGGTCTCATCATAATCTAATTTCAATAACAATTCTTGTTTCTTCTCAGCCTGTAAAGGGAGTAAAAGTTCCTATAAATTTCAAATAGTATTTCTTATGGTATTTCTTAACTATAACATTATATGATATTAATAACAAATGATATCAATATCACTGATTAATGACTTTCTTCAATTTTTGAAGATACAAAACAAGTCTTCATAAAGAAAATGCAAAAACACACTTCACTTACATCTGAACATTCATCTATTTCTTTCCGTCTAGTGGCCTTAAATTCTTCCATATTATCTTTTTCAAATTCTTTCTGGCACTTATTAATTATAAGATTCCTAAATTTAACCTCAGACTTGCCACTATTGCTGGAGTCTGAACCCTCCCCACGGACAGACATTTTGGAGAGTACTTGACACATCTGAGCATAGGTTGAAGAGAAACCCTGCTCATCCACAGCCTGTTTGGAGAAAGAAAAATATACATTTCAGATGATCATGCACTGCTGGCTCAATGAATAATAACCAACAATAACAATATTCATCATACTGTCAAATTCCTTCCATAACAAACCTTTTCAAAAATAAGATCAATCACAGCTGAAAGTCTTTCTGTGGTGTCAATGGGCATCTGATTGACTGTACCAACCAGTTTCTCAAACTTCTCTGGGGTCAGTTTATTCAAGATACCTCTCATCCTCTTCACCACCTGCACAATAAAGAAGAAGGTTAGTTGTATAAACTCATCCATATCAAATTTCTCACACTTCTCTGAAACCTTCAAATATTTAACCATCTTACAAATAAAATCACAAGAAATCACCACCACAAAATCTTGGCACATACCTCAATAGTCTGAGCTTCCTCATCATTAATAGTTGACTCCTTAACAGAAGGCTTCCAAGCATTTTCTGTTGTTTTCAGCTTAGTCTCACGCCGGTTGAGAGAGGGATGATGATGACCTTACTCTGTCCGCGGCCACTTCCTCCTCTGTCGTTTCTGCTCCCAGGTCCTCCACCTGGCTCTCGACGCTGTTGGCTATTGCGCCCTGGTACTCCTCTCTGAAGCAATAAGATGATGCACACATCTAACATGCAGTCTCACAAAACCATTTAAATATTATTCCCTCTCAAAGTATCCAGCACAAATGAAAGCATTTTCTGTAAACTGTTAATACCTTGCTTGGAACTGTAGACTTGAAGTAATCAGGAGTAAAGTCTGGGCCACTGCTGCCGTGTGAAACCCCTACACCCCGGTCAAAAGGTTTAAGCTGCAACATGAAAATATTGGCATTAAAAAACGTAAAACCACTCTACAACTGACAAAGATTTTTGAAGGCATAACCTTTACACCAGAAACTCCTAATATCAAATACACTCAAACACATATCCCAACTTACCCTTCCTGGACCATCACGGACCACCTCCAAGTTGGGAGGGACTCAGGCTTCTTAAGGGAAAGTGGGTTATTCTGGAGCTCAAGGAGAAATCTGCGGTCATACTGACGTTTACCATCAGGATTTACAGGGCTCCACTGATCTATAAAGATGCCAAAAAATGCATATGAATAAATACTTCAGGTTCACATCTATGACATACTGAAAGAAAGACATCAACCATTAAGAGTAAGTATAACAAAGATCTTCCCTGGGAGGATGGACAATAGTGGCTTTTCTGCTGAAAGTGAAAATTGGACTAAACATTTTGTACAAGGCATCATAGCAAAACAAGAAAATTACAGCCTAGACCTGCCACACTTCATGAAACAACCCATGAAGTCAAACCTACCATCCTTATAGTTGTACTTCAGCTGAGGACCATCATCCTCCTTCTCCTCCTCGTCGTGAACATTGTTAACCTCCCGCTCTATGCTATTCACTTCCCTCTCCTTCGAGGCACGATCGTTAGGCGCCTCCTCTGGGGGGGAGGGGGAGGACTCTGGCTGGGGTGTTGCCTCTTTGGAAGAGGGAGCTGATGCCGGCTTCTGCACTGGTGGCAGCTGTGTTTTCACAGGCTGAGCTAGCTCTGGTGTCTTCTCCTTTGGAGGCTGAACAACAGGCTGGCTAGTGGGCTTGGTGGCATTTTGAGCTGCAGGTGGTGTTGCAGCCTTCTGGGGTTGGCTTGGTAACTGTGGCTGCTGGGGCTGAGCTGGAGGCTCCTCCACAGTCTCCCTAGCTGGTGTGGTTTCTTCTGGGGGAACCCCCCTTCCACGCTTGCCTGCAATGAAGTCAAAATGTTAGTGGGTTACCCTTTATGAGCACAGAGAAAGATGGATTTTTTCCTTCTTTTACAGATATAAAAGTTGGTTCCTTTGAAAAAGCGAGTGAAAAAAGACCACAGGAAGTATGATAAAGTAAAAAATTATGGATCTAGAAAAAAATCAATTTACTTCCATATCAACTATTTAGTTATAGTTGTATATAAAAACAATTTACCTCTTACAAAAATAACTCAATAATAATGACCAAATGTTAACCAATTGATGCCAAGTACAACTAACTCGTGTATCTTTGTAAATTTGATTCACATGTAGGTCAGTTACCAGGCCTACATGACCTATGTCACTGATTTTTCTTTCTTTCAGGAAAAGTCCATTTATTACTATAATCATTAGCAATATCATTAAAGATATTGGTAAGAAAAAGTTACTAACAGTAATAGCAATTAAGTATTTCTTACAACAATTCAAGGATCTGGGTAAATAGGCGAGGCCTTTATTATTATTAATCCAATAGGTTAACCCCTTGGATCCAGTTGGTTCACAGCAGTAAATATGGGTATTAGACTTGTGTTAGCAGCCACTCTGATCAGTGCGCAGCTTGTAGGCCAGGTGCGCGTGAACACTCATGCTGTGACAAGACACTATGCCACCTCTTTACAATGCTATTTTCTCTTTATGCACAAGTATTTAAAACTTTTTTGTCATTTACCAATGTCCATATTTGTCATTTGATTTCCTTTATCTGGATAGTAAGTTTATTTACCTTGCACAGACTCCGTATCATCCCTCTGGAGGATCCATAACTTGGTGCAAGAAAAATAAAAAGTAACTTGTGCCACTTTAATTCTTTAATTTTTAATTTTCTGTAATACAACCTGCACTGCCAGTCATGGCAGCAAGGAATAGGATGCTGAGCACTGACATGGCATCCTTCCTGGTGCCAGCGTTCTTCCAGTTGTGACTCACGTACATTACATTCCACTCATTTAATTATGGGATAATGCAAAAGCCCCTTTCTGAAAGCCAAATAGGTCTAATCACCCTCCGCTTGTGGCGAGTCTTAAGTCACCCAGGCCTTCAACCGAAATGCTCATGACTGCAAATTAGCGTCATCTGGCCCATAACCAGTTTTTTTTCATGTGATGGCCATATCATCCATATCAAAGGAGTTAATAATGACAAAGCTCAAATACATACTAACATATTAAGGTAAGAAAGGAAGGGATCTTTTCAACAAAAAAAACAATATACTTGGAAATACTAAAACAATCTCACCCATCTGAGGAGTGGATCCCACATCAAATAAAAATGCCCCACCAAATCTTAGCAAACTTCATTTTATAATTTCTGTAGATTTGTCAAGTCACACAAGAAAGAATTAATATAGTATGAGCAGTTGTTTGCTTTATTCTAACAGTGTTGCTGTTGCCTGTTACTAGCTACTGAAGCAGGTGCCTCTCTCAAACCTGCTGTATAGTATACTCTACAGTGGCTCTGTACTTGAAGTGATTAGTGATATTTACACTGATAAGCTAAAGCGATAATGCATATGATGAAATGCAAAGTTTGATGTTATCTTTGGAGAATTACAGACTGATAAGCCATCTCAGATGAAGGGCATTATGATAATTTTGGCTCTGTACCTTGGCTGGGCAGCAAGTAAAATAAGAGCTGAAAATCTATTCCATAAGATAAAAAAAAAAAAAAAAAAAAAAAAACCCACCCCCATTCACCCACCCACAAACAAAACCACACCCACACCCTCACCCACACACCTTATAGACAATGTTCAGCTAAATAGCACTTCAAAATGACAATATATAATGCCATACATACTACTTCGTGCAAAAACAAATTACCTCATTTCAATAAAAAGGATAAAAAGAATTTAAAAAAAATAACAGTAAAGGTCATTAGGCTAAAAGCCTTTTCTCCTTCAATATCTTACTCTTGTGATATTTCTCTTCCAGATGAATAAATACATACCGGTGACAGCACTTTAAACTCTGACTATTGCTGTCTTAGACTTCAAGACAGCTATGGCAACTAATTAGAAACAAGAAGCATAAAATCCAAAGTTTTCTCCATTCTGGGTCACAATAGCCTCCCAACCCTTAATCCCGTTAAAATATTAGGCAACCACTTATATCTCACTAAGACTCCATAATCTTACTTTCCTTTTTTTCTATTACAAAAATCACAACAATAAGAAGAGCAGGTACGCTAAGGAAGCATGTGTACATACTCCATGCCTTGTGGATTTTTCACCTCCCCCCCACCCCCTTTTTAATGCACAGATGGCACCTGAATTACTTAGTAACAAGGAGCCATTAACCTGTCCTACTTTATCTACCCTGCTTTTCTATTTTGCTAATTTTTGGAAAGTTGTTACTCATTACTATTGATATTTTCATTATCAAAGCAATTAATAACTTTATATATAATATATATAATAATATATAATAATAACACTAATAATAATAATATAAAATCAATCAATTTAGAAAAAAAAGCAAAACTGGGTACTCAAGGTGAGGTCTGGTAGACTTAATAGACCAATTGGTGGAGAACTTTTTCACAAAACTACATAGCATAATACATGTACCCTTTCTTTCACTTATAGATTAACTGTTGAAATGATTATCATTACCCTTCTCTAAGGCAAAGGGAGGGGGGGGGTTAACTGTTGAAATGATTATCATTACCCTTCTCTAAGGCAAAGGGGGGGGGGGGAGTAATTCATTACAATGTGATAAATGAAACTACATAAAAAAAACAGAAGTGCAATATGAATGAACAAACAATCACTGGCAACGAAGCATGTGAAGTGTGGGTGCTGGTGAAGTGACATGAGCAGAAGCAGACACTTGGCAGAGTGTCAGCTTGGAGGACTGCTGTGGCTACCATGATATTTCTGGACACCATCTCCCAACACCAACTCACAGGTTTAGCTTCACTTTCATGCCAGCACTGCCACTGCATCACTTGGGTTGTGTAAAAAAAAAATCCTTTGACAATAACAGCACTCCCTTTGCTGCCTGATCCAACTTGTACATCAGTACTTTACCAAGATAAAGAGACCATCTCGGGCACAATCCACATGGTCATAGAGATCATTTTCTCCTAGACCTCACTTACATTATAAGAATTTATGTGCCACTGTGGACTACTGTGGATTTCCTGAGTTTTTCTGAAGCAAATTTTTAAATTTCAATCAGAAATGAACTTTAAATGTTAGAAGTTGAATACCTTCAATTAAATCTAATTTACAAAAATCCTTGAATCACTGAAACTGATTTATGATAAAACTGAAGTAAATGACGAATTTCACAACTTGTAAACATCACATAGCAATCCATCAATCATAAATGATTATTGTCTCAAATTACATATTTGTCCAAGATTATGTACATGAATTGCAATAAAAAAAGGAAAGCAAATAAAAAAAGGCTAAAGTGTCAGCACTTCAATTCTGAAAACGAACAAATACCCTGGACATCATTAAGCAAGTTCAATCTTGAAGCCTATCTTGAATGGCTGCAACAAAGGAAATGGGGAAAAAAAATAAAAATAAATAAAAACAATAATAATAAAATAAACATTCACAACTTGCAACAATGTCTATAATCTCAAAGAAATATTTTCCAACATTCTATCAACACTAAAACCTATAAGAAAGAAAAACATGCCACAAATGCTTTCAATGAAAACCCCAACTCTGGACTTCCCTATGAGAAGACCACAACACTTGAGCAACCAATGCCAAAATATGCAACAGGAAGCCATGCCTCTTGGCAAATGTGAACGAATCAGATGCCCAGACAACTGCTTTGCTTAAAGAACTTGAAATAATAGTCATTATGATTTCCAGTCAAGGAATAAAGGAAATATCTACTGTAACCAATTAAAAATTAATGTATGCAATTTTTCACATTAACAATGATCATCTCAACTCTCATCAATGTGAACAAGATTAATGGGGGAGATGCATGAGCACAACAGGGCCTTCAGATTTGTAAAACTTGACATCTTAGTCATGTCAAACAAACAAGGATTTCAGACTTATGACAGTATGAACAGTATTTTTTGTGGATTGCATTAAAAAGAATGAAAGAAAAATAATCACCCAAATATTTTTCTCCCCCCCCCCCAAATTCTATTCTATTCTATTCATTACAAACCTCCTTAATCAATAAGTCCTTGTGTGAAATTAACCTGTGTGAACTACCACAAAATCTCAACTGCATAAATTTGACACAAGTACATAAATCCCCAGTTCTGGCTTAGCTCATTTGTTTGACCTTTAAGACTGAATGAAGGAGCCACCTATAAATGCTTGATGGCCATTGTATTCACTCGACTTAGCAATGTGGTGATACTACTACACTTGCAGTGCCTTGAATTTCTTCCAAGATCATCATGAATGTTCCTTATTCCATTCTAGTAAAAAAGTGTTGTTAGAATGTTTGCAAGCTAGCTAGTGAAATTGATATTCATAAACCCTACAAAATTAGAAATATTTTTCATGAACTCTACCTAATACTTAAAACAATGACTTGTATAATTCTCCCCCTCTTATATTTTAAGGATCATTTCATCAAAGACCAATCATCTTTCCCTTATATCAATGAATTCCCTTTAGTGCACCCTTTTTGCCCCATGGTTAATCATTCACAGTCAAATGAATCTCCAAACAATCCGGATATTGAAATTAAATCAAGGATTTTTCTTTACAAAAGCAACCTTCCAAAACTGCCGAATTCACACACGAGGTCTTACCATGACGGTCTCGACTCCTCCTGCCTGGTTACCTTGATCTGCTGGACTCGCGGCCGAACCCCACCCCTCCTCCTCCTCCTCCGCCCGTTTATCTGATCTGTGAATGGTTCTGGTGTGGTATTTCCTCCGCGACAGGTCTCCTTCAGAGGAGTTGATCTGGGTGTGCGCGCCCTCCATATTACCGGGGAATCACGTGAAATCCCGCGTGAGGCCAAGG